CAATTGCCTAATTTTGGTCCCAGAAGCATAATGTAGTTTTCACATGCTTGGAGGAAACCACATTAGGCTGTCAACAAGGAAGGACAGGTCACTTATCAGTCTATGTGCAAGGCCAGAAAATGGTACAGATAGAGAGGGAGGCATCAGATGGAAGCCAGAAGAAAGGTGCTGCTTTCTTATAAATATGTAAATGGAAAAGCATGCATACTGAAAAACTTAAAACTCCACATTCAAAAAACTGAGATTGTGGCATCTGGTCCCATCACTTCATGGCAAATACATGGGGAAAAAGTGGAAACAGTGACAGCTTTTATTTTCTGGGGCTCTAAAATCACTGTGGATGGTGAGTACAGCCACGAAATTAAAAGACTGTTGCTCCTTAGGAGAAAAGCTATGACAAACCTAGAGAGAATATTAAAAAGCAGAGACAACCCTTTGCTGACCAAGGTCTGTATAGTCCAAGTTATGGTTTTTCCAGTAGTCATATACAGATGTGAGAGTTGGACCATAAAGAAGGCTGAGTGCCAAAGAATTAATTCTTTGAATTACAGTGTTGGAGAAGACTCTTGAAAGTCCGTTGGACTGCAAGGAGATCAAACCAGTCAATCCTAAGGAAAATCAACCCTGAACATTCATTGGAAGGACCGATGCTGAAGCTGAAGCTCCAATTCTTTGGCCACCTGATTCAAAGAGTTGACTTATTGGAAAAGACCTTGATGCTGGGAAAAATTGAGGACAGGGGAAGGGGGCGATAGAGGGTGAGATGGGTGGATGGCATCACTGACTCAATGGACACGAGTTTGAGCAAATTCTGGAAATGCCGAAGGACAGGGAAGCTTGGCATGCTGCAAACCACAGGGTCACAAAGAGTCGGACATGACTTAGTGATTGAATAACAACGATACTGAAAAATACTGGGGGATCACAAACCTACTGACCTTCAAGCTGACTGATCAAAACAGAAGAGTGAATAAATCATGACATGCTGATGTGCTACAACTGGCTTGGACCAGCTCAGGAGAGACTGAGAGCTGATTGTTAATTTCAGGAATTTTGCAAGGCAGATGACGTCATGCTATAGCTTGAAATAGACCATGGTGGGAGTATTTACGTCACAGAAATTGGCAAAAGCTATAAATCAGGCTTCCTTTTCCCCTCAAGAGCCAGCTGTTAAACATTTACCAGCATGCCATTGAATCCTGACATTGTCACTATTCACATGTTTATTTATTAGCCAGCCTGACTCCAATAAGGAAACCAAGGACTCAGAACAGACTGAGAGTCATATCCTTGCTGCCCTGTAAAATCATAAGAGATCTGTAAGAGACAACGGAAGATACTGCCTAGATAATTGGTCTTTATATTGGACTTTGCAAATTCTTAAGAGTTTGTATACACAAATAATTTTAAGTTCAATTCCTGGTCGGGGAGCTAAGATCCGGAATGCCACAGGGTGTGGCCAAAAATTTGAAAAATAAACACAACATTGTAAATCAACTACACTTCAGTTAAAAAGAAAAAAGAAAATAAAAAGAAACTTCTCTTTAAAAAAGATGGTATTTTAGCCCATAATTTTTCTGAATTCAGAACAATGAGGAAATGTATCAGAGACACTGATTCTTTTTATCGTAGTTGGACTGCAAGGAGATCAAACCAGTCAATCCTAAGGAAAATCAACCCTGAACATTCATTGGAAGGACCGATGCTGAAGCTGAAGCTCCAATTCTTTGGCCACCTGATTCAAAGAGTTGACTTATTGGAAAAGACCTTGATGCTGGGAAAAATTGAGGACAGGGGAAGGGGGCGATAGAGGGTGAGATGGGTGGATGGCATCACTGACTCAATGGACACGAGTTTGAGCAAATTCTGGAAATGCCGAAGGACAGGGAAGCTTGGCATGCTGCAAACCACAGGGTCACAAAGAGTCAGACATGACTTAGTGATTGAATAACAACGATACTGAAAAATACTGGGGGATCACAAACCTACTGACCTTCAAGCTGACTGATCAAAACAGAAGAGTGAATAAATCATGACACGCTGATGTGCTACAACTGGCTTGGACCAGCTCAGGAGAGACTGAAAGCTGACTGTTAATTTCAGGAATTTTGCAAGGCAGATGACGTCATGCTATAGCTTGAAATAGACCATGGTGGGAGTATTTACGTCACAGAAATTGGCAAAAGCTATAAATCAGGCTTCCTTTTCCCCTCAAGAGCCAGCTGTTAAACATTTACCAGCATGCCATTGAATCCTGACATTGTCACTATTCACATGTTTATTTATTAGCCAGCCTGACTCCAATAAGGAAACCAAGGACTCAGAACAGACTGAGAGTCATATCCTTGCTGCCCTGTAAAATCATAAGAGATCTGTAAGAGACAACGGAAGATACTGCCTAGATAATTGGTCTTTATATTGGACTTTGCAAATTCTTAAGAGTTTGTATACACAAATAATTTTAAGTTCAATTCCTGGTCGGGGAGCTAAGATCCGGAATGCCACAGGGTGTGGCCAAAAATTTGAAAAATAAACACAACATTGTAAATCAACTACACTTCAGTTAAAAAGAAAAAAGAAAATAAAAAGAAACTTCTCTTTAAAAAAGATGGTATTTTAGCCCATAATTTTTCTGAATTCAGAACAATGAGGAAATGTATCAGAGACACTGATTCTTTTTATCGTAGTTGGAGTACTTTGCAGGAGTACCAAAAATTTTAAGATACTTTGAAAAACCCCCATGGCTATAAATTTTACATGCCTTCTTTGCTGTTCAGTGTGCTTTATTTTGTAAGGTAATTAAAATATTAAAATGTATTTCATCAAACTATATTGTGAAATATTTATCCAATTACAATCAATCCTCATTTCATTTTACAAGATGTTCAATACTTTCTATCTCCTAGTAACAAAATAAAAATTTAAACATAATTAAAAAATTTATAGATCTCAATTACAAAATGACTGAAAGGTAAATAGCTTTTTTTAAAAATGTCTTTAGTCAGGAGCAAAGAAGTCTGGCACTGTGGCCTGAGGTTACTCTCACAGTCCTTACCATTAGACTGGAGAGTGAATATTTCTGGAGGAGGATTAGACACTAGTAAGCAAACCCATACAGATACCCAAAAGTAAAGAAGAGAAAAAAGAATCCCTTTGAACAATTTAGTGACTCACTGCAAATGTGTCATTAAAGTTGTTGTTTAACAAAACACCTTCACTGAAAAGTGAAAGCATCCGTCGCTCAGTCGTGTCTGACTCTTTGCAACCCCATGGACTGTAGCCCACCAGGCTCCTCTGTCCACGGGATTCTCCAGGCAAGAATACTGGAGTGGGCTGCCATTCCCTTCTCCAGGAGATCTTCCTGACCCAGGGAATGAACCCAGGTCTCCTGCATTGCAGGCAGGGTTTTTTTACCATCTGAGCCGCCAGGGAAGCTCTGATGTGTATGTGTTGGGGGGTGGGGTGGGAAGTCTATGGGAAAGGAATCTAGAAAGCAATAGTTTTAAAACATGGTGAACTTCTTTGAAAATGATTATATATGTGTATATATATACACATATATAAAAGTCAAAAACTGACTTGTTTCATTTTGCTTAAGAAGATCTTGAGCAGAAAAAAAATAAAAACCTCTGATATCCATGAACAGTCATTAATCCGCAGCCTACAGTGTACCATGGCTTTGTTCTTTCAAGTATACCCCAAAGTCAGCTTTTCTTAGATCCTGTGATCTAAGTGTGCTTGATGTGAGCTCTCGTATGGAGTCATACCGGATAGTAAATGTCTGCATTATTAATAGTATCAAAGCAATAAATGTGTTCCTGACATCGGCTAAACCTGGGTATTTACAAGGCACCTGCACAGCCTCTAAGGCTGCTGGCAGAATATGTCGAATTGTTTCTTCTAAAAGCATCCACTAAAAATAACCCTTTTTTTCTTCTTTATTAGGAATTCCAGAAGTTATGGTCTCCTATAAAATCAAAAGCATGTGGGAGTAAAATTTATACCCTTCCAGAAAGTTCCTTCGAGCATTCAAGGTGATGTATTTGTGACCCTTCATACAGGGATGGCAGCAGCCGTCTATGTTGATCGTTTCAATAAAACTCTCAATTTAAAGGTCACTTATTTTGGCAACTTGACGATTACATTTAGCCAGGTTGGAAGTAGGAGGTGGGATAAAATTTCCTTAATTAAGAAAAGAGAAGAAGTATTTTTTTTTAATAAAAAAAGTAGGCAATCTCAGTGGCAACAGTTTGTCCAAATAACTACAGACATTGCCTTAGTCTTTTGGCATCAAACAGTATAAAGAATGGCAAGAAATAAACTCTTTCTGCTTTAGTGAAAAGAATCTATAACTATTCTGTTTTCTAGAAATGAGAGGAATAATCTATCCTACCAGTTCATCTATTTTCATGCCTAGGAAAACTTGTTTAAAAATTCTTTTCTCTTGCAAATGTATTCAGTAGTATTGATTTAGCCACTGCTTCTTACATCCAGGGCATGAAATCAACAGATAACTTATGTGCATGAAGGGAAATGAAAGACTTAGAAAATAATGCTTGTTAAAATACTTTTTTAAAAAAGTCAAAGGGAAGACATTTCTGAGAGCAAAGGAAGGGGAGTGAAAATGATGAAAGATTTTGCTGATGAAAGGAACTATGCACGTTCAATCTATGCACCTAACTATGCGCGTTCAAACTATGCATCAAACATGCATCAAACTATGCATGTTCAATTCAAAGAAAAGACACTTAAATGGCAATTATGAAAGGGAGCAGCCACTGGTTTTGGTTATTAGGCAAGGATTAGACGTAGCACAACAGATTGAAGAACACCCTCTCCACGCGGATGCCATTAAGGGCAGCTTCTCAAATTCATTACTAAAGTTTCAACAGCCCCCCACTTGGAAAAAGCCAAGAAAGAGCTATACTGCCTGCCTCTCTCCCGCCATCTATTTCTTCTCCTTCCTTTCTTTCTCTCCCTCCCTTGTTGGAAGCACTCACTTTGCCTGATGCAGCGTATTCTTGACGCTCCAGAGTCTGCCCAGTCACATCAGTTCCAGTTTACTGAAGAACCTCCATTTGCTCTGTGTGGAAACAAAGAATTTCTTCCAATAAGCAACGGCCTCCAAACATTTCTGTCAATGCTCTCCTTTCCCCCTTGCTTATCAACTCCCTTAAAAATGCTTTCAGCTCTTTTACTTATTAGAGTAGTCTAATCCCAGTGTTCAGGATGTAGTATGGGACCCCCGTGATGGTCCAGTGGTTAGAGGCCCACTTGCCAACGCAGGGGACAAAGGTTTCATCCCTGGTTTGGAAAGATTCCACGTGTCACGGAACAACTAAACCCGTGCATCGCAACTACTGAAGCCTGCGTGCTCTAGAGCCCAAGCTCCTCAACAAGAGAAGCCACTGCAATGAGAAGCTCGTGTACCACAACTCGAGAGCAGCCCCCACTTGCCACCATTAGAGAAAGCCCGCACACAGCAACAAAGACCCAGGGAAGAAAGAAAGGAAGAAAGGAAAGCAAGGGGAAAAAAAGAAATAATGAAAGAAATAAAGATGCAGTGCTACTTGTTTGAAAACCCCTGAGTTGCTGGATTCAAGTATTGCTCCTTTTGTCTCCTTAGCCCCCGCTGGGCTGTCTGCACAAGACCCTTTGTGGTGGGGATGGTGGTGGGTCCCAGGGACATGGGAGTCTCTCACCTGAGCAGGCCTCCCTGCCCTCCTCTTCTCCATGCTGTCTCCCCCAGAGTCAGAGTCCCGAGAAAATGAAGAAGTGGGCCTCCGGACTTGACCCCTGACTGGGTGAGACTGTTGTCGCTGCTGTTCCTCTGGCCCAGAATGACTGGCTTTGGCGTCATCTGTGTGTCGGGGAGTCAAACACTGATCTGGAAACACATGGGGTTTTCTGCTAGGCCAACCCTTCCAAGGCAAGTTTTCTAGATTTGGAAGGAGACCACTCACTCACTCTCAGCTCCCTCCACGGGCCATCAGCGCCCCAGCCTCTTGCTTCAGAGAGCTCCTCTTTCAGAAAATAACCCAGCCGATTCTGACTCAGTTCACATCTCCTCCTCATCCCAGATGGTGGGAGCGCCAGTGTGTCTGGGAGACCTGCTGTCCCAGCCTCTCTTTGCTGACCTTTCTCCAGGTCCCAGGAGCACTAAGCTCAGCAGGCCCAAAGCGTCTCAAATTTCAAAGGAGAGATCCTTACTCTTACTCCTCCCTGAGGAGGGGGTGGGGGGTGGAGGGGGTGCTGGAGAGTTCAGGTACCTCTTCCCCTCCCCTCCGCACCTCCGCTCCATCACCCCACCCCACTCCAAGCCCACCTTCACCCCATCCGCCCCCACCTTCTCTCCACCCTCATTCCACCTACCCCTATCCCCACCCCTGCAAACTTTCTTGGCAATGATCTTGGGATCTCCCTTCCCTGTCTCTCGGGAGGTGATAATGCGTATTTGCAGAAATAATAACTTTTCTGCACAAGCATAACACCCTTTTTAAGACAGCATTTTATCTCCCCTCCCCCCATGTTAACTTGGGGGTCTTAGCTGGGGGCAGGAGAGAGTAGGGAAGGTGGTTGGTTACCGGCTGCTTCTCAGCCCTGCCTCCTCTCACTCCACCCTGGAGGTGGTAGCTGGCCCTCCTGCTGCTGTCACTGTAAATGCAGAATGTGAAGTACCTGGTGCCTTTAATCCCCCAATGATGCAACAGGAAAAATCCCATTTCACACCCTGCTCCATGTGGACTGATCTGGACCAGCCATTGAGGCAGCCCCCTGCCCTTCCATCCACTTAAGAGACAGTCCTGGCCACTTGCTCCTGCCTCGCTGGATGCTCAGTCCTCTTGACTGATATTTGCCAGTGGTCAGGCAATTCCCTGATCCTCATCAGCCCGAGACTAATACCTGGGACACAGTACATTTCTCTACGTCATCACAGGGACCAAAACTCCTCATTAACTCAGATGCTCTGATATCATCAAAATATACAACAAACGGAGTCAGAGGGAGAGACCAAGGAGCAAAAGGTCTGCTGACAGCTCAGCGTCTCTGTCTATTTTCCTGAGGATCCCTCCCCCACCGCATGTATCCCAGCTCCCCCACCCCAGCGACAGCCTCCTCTGTGGACCCATTTTTCTCCTGCAAATCAGGATGCTCTGAAACTATTCCCCATCCTTCCCCAACCTCAAGGGAAAGGGTTCCCCAGCTGATGACTGTGCTCCTGCTAACTCACTTCAGTCATGTCCAACTCTCTGTGACCCCATGGACTGCAGCCCACCAGGCTCCTCTATTCATGGGATTCTCCAGGCAAGTGTACTGTGGGTTGCCATGCCCTCCTCCAGGGAAGTCTCCCTGACCCAGGAATCCAATTTGTGTCTCCTGTGTTGCAGGTGGATTCTTTACCACTGAGCCAGCAAGGAAGCCCTGCTGATGGTTACGTCCATCTAAAAGGCATATGCTTTTCTCCAGGGGATAGATTTCTTTTGATTTTACTGTCAGATGATCTACATCTCATTTCCTCAAGGCAGAAGTCCACAGAATTCAGCAGCATCGTTCTAAACTGCACCAGAGTTACACATGTAGAACTACTGTTGTCATAGAAATAAGAACATATGCATTAATGCCAAGCAACCTACGGCAAATTGCAGACAACTGCCCAAGGCCCTGTGTTTTGGGAACCACATAAAACGCTGAGGCTTGGGTAGTTATTGGAAGAAAAGCAACAGCTGGTTAGTCGGTGGGGGGCAAAATACAAACATCTTGATCACATAAGCAATCTGTCATTTCTAACAGTATCACCAAGGAAATAGGGTAAGGTTACCCTTTCCTCAAACACACTCTCCAGAGGGTCAGCCTGTGACTTCTTTTCCTGCAATGTTTATAGTAACATTGACTTTAGTGGTTTTATTACCGAGATTCCACCTGTTCCAAAATGTGGACAGAGGAAAGAAAGCAGATGAAGGGACAGGTCTGTATGAAGTGACTTCACAAGGCTGAGTTTACGGAGCTGTTATAAACGAGCTTCTAAGTGGCTATGGCTCCAGAATTTTTTTTCAAATCTCTGAATTTACAGACAGGAAGTTTACTTTCCCAGGACCAGAGATATACAATTAGAAATGAAAGTAAATGACAAAACATTTTCTCAAAATGTATGCTGTGAATGAATAAAGGGAGAAATAGAACTGCCTAGGAAATGTACTGCATGGTTCTACCATCTTTTTAAATATCACAAATATAATATTACCCCATTCCTCAACTATATTCTTAGGTACAAATACACTGAAGGTTTCTAACTTTGATTTCTTAATTTACCTGTCTTGATAACCAATTGAGAATGCTATAAATCACTGTGTTCTACAGAGATAATCTCTAATTTCATTTCCAGGTGGCATAATAGAGTTAAAAGAGTCTTTCCACAATTGAGTATATCAATAACTTCTTGGAATAAGCTGCCCTTCAGAAAGACATTTAGAGAGAAAATAACAATCTTATTCCCTAGGAATTTAAAGAACAACTTTGGGTGGGTCACTTTGCCTTCCTCAGTCTTAATGTTATCATTTGTATAATGGAGATAACCATGATGATGATGATACTTTATTGTAACCTAAAGGACTATTATAATAACTGCTACAGAACACTTTACAAACTATAAAATCTGATGACATTACTTATCTTCAAAATCCTGCTATAAGGCTCTATTCTCTCTATAAAGACCTATATTACAACTAATGATTATCAGCTAGGTGTGTATGTCCAAAGATATAACTATGTGTACAGAATGCCGTACATCTATCAGGATCATTTCTAAATGCAGCTCCTAAATCAGTGCTATATTTGAAAGTGCTTGGCACATTTTAACTAAGTTAATCACCATCCAGCATCAGAGGGCCCTGTAATTCTCGTGCTGTCTGGCCATTGCTAACTGGAGGCTAAAACTTAAAATGCTAAGCTGCAAGAGCCATCCCAGGAATTAACAATGTGCTCCAGGCACACACTGCTGGTGCCTTTTCCAGAGAAGCAGGAAGTGAAAACAACAACAAAAGCTGCTCCATGGGGAGCCTTTACAACTGCCTGGCAGAGTGCTGAAGTCTTTCCACACACTTTACCCTTAACTCTCATGCCAGCCCTAGGAGGTAAGCATTGTGTTCCCTATTTTTGAGATGAGAAGATTCTAATTTTCTGGTAAGATAAGGAACTCATGGCTCCACCTTGGTTCTTAGCCAGTAGAAGGGGGTTGTGTCCTTCCACACACACTTAAGGGTAACACTGACATTAGCTTATCAGGCCCGAAGATAGTTGCTTGGACTCTTGCCTCTTTTCAACTCAGGACGAGGAGAGAAGGAAGATAAAACATGAAGCAGGTCATTTTGCTTCTGTTCATGTTTTTAAAAGGCTTTACAGCCCCAGTTCTGAAGGGAAGATGGGACATCCTTCTAGAATTAGCTGGATTTGCCTCTCCTTGTACCCTGTGGCAGCTCCCTCATGAATATATAAGCAGCACAAGCTCTCCAGAACATCTGTCCAAGAGGAACAGCAATGAGCGCTGCACCCCAGGTATCTTTTGAGAATCTGCCTGATTTTAAGATTGAGAGTTTTGGGTTTTTTTTTTTTTTTTCCCCATCTGCAGCATCCCAATCTTAACAACCTGTAATGAATCTGCTTTTTAAAAAAAAAAAAAAAAATTTTATCCCTGTATTAGAAAAGACCCTGATGCTGGGAAAGATTGAAGGTAGGAGGACAAAGAGATGATAGAGGACAAGGTGGTTGGATGGCATCCCTGACTCAATAGACATGAGTTTGAGCAAGCTCTGGGAGATGGTGAAGGACAGGGAAGCCTGGCGTTCTGCAGTCCATGGGGGGGGTCACAAAGAGTCGGATATGCCTGAGCAACCAAACCACAACCACAACAACAAAATGAAAGTTTCTAGGAGTGAGTGACAGCTGAGGCAAATTTTTACCATCTGGGTGATTTCCCTGCACAGGGGAGCAGGTGAACCTGACTTCAGCAGCTAAATCCTACATCAGCTGATTCCCAATTAAGTGGAGCCTCATTCATTCCAGGCTGTCAGAGAGCCGCACACCGAA